GTGCTGCTTATATGCAGGCTATGACAGGCGCGACTTTCTTAATAACGAAGCAACGACATATTATATTGATATATTGCGTGGATTTTTTGACAAGCAACAATATACTGATATTGCATGATATATTGCGTTGTTTCTTAAGAACGAGGCAACAATTTGATACATTGCATCGTTTCTTAAGAACGAAGCAACGACATATTATATTGATATATTGCGTGAATTTTTTGACAAACAACAAATATTATATTGATATATTAAGCAAGGACATATTATATTGATATATTGTGTAAATCTTTTGATTATATTGATGTATTACGTCGTTTATTAAGAACGAAGCAACGACATATTATGTACTATTTAAAACACGAGTAGGAGTGTTTTATCAGATATATAACGCGAGGCGCAGCCGAGCGTTATATATCTGATAAAACACGACAACGAGTTCATTCTTAAGAATGAAGCAACAACATATTATATTGATATATTGTGTGAATCTTTTGACAAGCAACAATATACTGATATTGATATATTGCGTCGTTTCTTAATTTTTGACAAGCAACAACAAATATTATATTGATATATTGCGTCGTTTCTTAAGAACGAAGCAACGACATATTATATTGATATATTGCGTGAATCTTTTGACAAGCAACAACAAATATTATATTGATATAATGCGTCGTTTCTTAAGAACGAAGCAACGACATATTATATTGATATATTGCGCGAATCTTTTGACAAGCAACAACAAATATTATATTGATATAATGCGTCGTTTCTTAAGAACGAAGCAACGACATATTATATTGATATATTGCGTGAATCTTTTGACAAGCAACAACAAATATTATATTGATATATTGCGTCGTTTCTTAAGAACGAAGCAATGACATATTATATTGATATATTGCGTCGTTTCTTAAGAACGAAGCAACGACATATTATATTGATATATTGCATGAATCTTTTGACAAGCAACAACAAATATTATTTTGATATACAGGGTGTATCCAAATAAACGCAATTCATTTTTGTGCTTAATAACTTTTGAAATACTATTTCTAGTTAAACGGTTTTAGGCTTACTTCAAAGCCTGTTCTTTTCTCTTTCAAACAAACTATTATTCTTGTCTCCAATGCTAGTAATAATTGCACAAGAAAAGATTTAGTAAAACCTATCATTTTTAGTTGCTGTTATGCAAGTTTACTATGTTATTGTTTATAGTCAGTTTAAATGTTAGAATTTTCTTATTTAAACTTTAATGTTGTCGTCACTACATCTGGAAAACCACGTAAGAACAAATTAAAAGTATTTTAAAAGAGACCAGGTTGTTTGAAAATCCTAAACGAATGCTAAAAATCGTCAAAACATTCTGGTGTCTGAGCCAGAGTGTCATCGAATTGCGATGTAATGTAAACAGAAATTATAGCAAGTTGATGTCAGTCAGATTAGATGGTCCAAGCCAAAATTATATCGCATTTGAAGTTTCAAACTGAGTTAAAAATAGCGGAAGAAAAGCCGTAATTATACTTATTGTTACAATCCATTTAATAAAATGCAACATTTTTGTTTTAATGAAAAAATCAGTTATTTTCATGAGAACGATTTGTTATTCCATCTCAATTTTTTAATCTCCAATCGCAATAACGTAAAGTATTATTACCCGCGAACCAATGAGTCAAATTTAAGAAACAACCCACTGTTAGAAAGCTGAATGGCTACGCTTTAAAATGAATGTAAACTTTAACGTTTTCGTCTATTATTTGTTTAGCAATTTACATTTCAGTCGAGGATTGCGCTTTTTTTGATAACCCTGTATTGTGTCGTTTCTTAAGAACGAAGCAACGACATATTATATTGATATATTGCGGGAATCTTTTGACAAGCAACAATATATTGATATTGATATATTGCGTCGTTTCTTAAGAACGAGGCAACAACATATTATTTTGATACATTGCGTCGTTTCTTAAGAACGAAGCAACAACATATTATATTGATATATTGCGTGAATCTTTTGACAAGCAACAATATACTGATATTGATATATTGTGTCATTTCTTAAGAACGAGGCAACAACATATTATTTTGATACATTGCGTCATTTCTTAAGAACGAAGCAACAACATATTATATTGATATATCATATTATATTGATATATTGCATCATTTGCGTGAATGTTTTGACACATATAAGAACGAGTAAATTGTATGCATATGGAGTTGTGTATGGAGCTGCTCAAAACATGAAACGGTGTAGTGTGCTCGCACAGACGGCCCGACATTTTGTCTGCAATTTGGATACAAAATAGTACACATATGTAAGTATGGCAGACACAAAAGACAGAATCAGTCCGAGCAGAATTCTATATGTAAATTATCAAAGACAAATTAAAGCTCATTACTGTATGTCACAGAAATACAGTTATTGTAACTAAAATGCCTTGTCTTAAAGGACGTTATGAAGCAATGTTTTTCATTAAAAAACACCTACTGTCATAAT